CCGGTACACCCCTTGGCCTGGCTGCCCCTGACTGAGTCTCTACTGAGCTCCAGGGTGGCAGCCTGCCAGCCTCTCTTCGGTCAAGAAATTGACCCTTGCCTATGGTTGCAGCCTTCTTAATTGGAGTGGTACCTGTGGGCTCTCTCTCGCTGGAAGCCGTTCCGACAGGTGATGCTCATGGTTGGTGAGGCACATGATCTTGTCAGGTGGGGTGTGTTGAACTGTTTATGGGAGTCTGGTGAATAAAAAGCAAGCCACTGCTGAGAGGAGAAATCCTGAGAGGAGAAGTGTGTGAGTAGAGATGACGGCTCAGCTCTCAAGCCCTCTTGGGCCTATTCCCTCTTCAATAATGCACCGGAGAAAGGGATGTGCTTTGACTTCAGTCAGCCTTATCCGACTTTCCTTCCAAAGGAAAATAAAATAGTCATCAGTTACAGACTTTCTTCCATAGCGGGACAGTGGTGGAAACAACCCAGTCCCCTGGGTGGTGCAACAGTTAACCCGCTCAGCTGCTGACAGAAAGAGGGTGTTGGTGTCTTCTCAGGGATGACTCTGGAAAAAGGGGCTTAAAGACCTGCTTTCAAAAAATCAGACATTGAAACCCTTGTAGTGCGCATGTCTCATGCACACAAGCAGGGCCTGAGTCAGAATCTACTTGACGGCGATTGGTTTGAGGAGGGGAAAACATACGGGTCCCGTAAATGGAATGTTGGAACCCTGTGAGACAAGTAAAGGGGGCCAGGTTTGCTCCTGATCCCCGGGAAAGATGTTCATGTTCCTGGAACCTACTCTGAAGCAGTCATCTGGTAAAACCCTCGCTGTGTCTTTCAGGGAACACCTTACTGGTTTCCCTTTACTGAAGCCAGTGTCACATCTCCTGTCTTAGTTCTCTAGAGAAGCAAAATTCATGAAGCTTATGTGTGTATATGTATAGAGAGAACGCATGTCAAGGAAATGGCTCACACAGTTGTAGAGGTGAGCAAGTTTCAAGTCCGCCAGCCACATGCCGGGCCACTTGGGCTGCGGAACGCCATAGGCAGGAAGATGACAGGCTTACCACTGCAGAGGCTGATGAATCCCAGGTCAGCAGCTAAGACGGTAGGCAGCTGACAACGCCCGGGATCAGCTGGCTGCTGGCTCAGTCCCAACACACTAGAGGTCAGTAGACCAGAGGAAGGATCCTGCCCCAGCAAAAAGCAAGCAAGCTGTTGCACAGTGTCCACTGATACTGAAAGCAGACCTCCAGGAGGTCTCACCGTGGGGATTACTGCATCTCAACTGCCAGACCACTGAGCCCTGGCCCCGCCCAGCCGACCCAAACTTCAACTGTCACCAGGACATTTTAAAAGCAAAACAAGGGTTGGGGGTTGCTCTCAGTAGTTGTTTCCACCACCGTCCCACTCTGGAAGAACGTCTGTAACTGACGACTATTTTATTTTCCTTTGGCCTTCTTTAAAAAGCAGCTGGGGTTACAACAGCTCTGCTGAAATTTTATATGGCCTTTTGCTTCAAGGACTTTGAAACTAGCATTGTTGGTTTTTCCCTTTTCCTGTCAACCCTCTGTCCTGTTGCCCTCTGTTGTAGATTCGCCCTCTGAAAGGTTTTAAGTACAGTGGCTCTTGGTATAGAAGCCCTTTTGACTCTCCCTGTGGCCTGAGCTACAGGTATATTTTCTTTCTGAAAATAAGTAAGCACAGTTTAGAGGGGCAGCAGAATTGCTTTGTTGCCAGCAGAGGCGGGAGGGGGTGGGTAGGTTTCAAGTGCCTCTGACAGACAGGTCTCTGTGTGAGTTAGGCTCTGTGCAGGATCTGAGTGTCTTGTTCGTTGTCCTCGGGGCAGGAAGGGGGACTCAAACGTTCTTTCCTATCAGTCTAAGCCCTGTGCAAACACAGCCCCATGGACAAAGCCCTTTCCCAGGAAGTAGGTAACAAGGAGCTGTTTGTGCTGGCTTCCGTCGTTAGCAGTTGGAGTCGGGCAGAACTAACAGTGGGGTTATGTGCCCTGTTGCAATATTGCTTTCTTGGGCCAAAACTTTGCAGGTGTCGTAGGGCAGAGTTCACCATGTGGGACTTACGTCCAGCACCATTGGGCACCTTCAGCAAATGCCACGTCGAGCAGGCTCGTGGCGATGAGGTAATCGGAATGAGGACTTGCACCCACCCAGCGGCATAAAAGCCAGATGATGGTTGTGTTTGCCTTTGTGTGTGGATGCCAGGATCCGGACTCCTCTCTGCCTGCATCTAATGCAACCTTGGCTTAGGGTGAATTAGCTTTGCCATCGCTCCCCTGGAGGGCACGGCTTCACCACCACAGAGCACAGTGCCTCCAAGGGCTGCCTCCCCTCACGTGGAAGTAATTCAGCATGTCAAACCCAGGGCTTCCGATGACTCAGCTTCCCATTTGTTTAGCCTCCCACCCCCACCGCTGTGTGGGCCAGTGTGGTAGCCATGATCCACACACGGCACTGTGCGTGAATACTTGAAAGGTGGCTAGTCTGAAGTGAGGGTGAGATGCTACCCAAAGTAGAACATCTTACTGCCTGTTGCAAAGATATTGGGTTAGATAGGCTATGTTGTTAAAATGAATTTAACCTACTTCTTTGTACTTATTAAAATATGGCTACTCTAAAAAGGTTGGCATCATATGTGGCTCACACTGAATTGGCATTGGACAGCACCTAGCACTTGAAGGAACTTTTTAGATCTATGACGCCATCTGCTGGTATACCTAAAGCATATTTGAAAGTAAGCAAGAATTGAGCAGTCAGAGCTAGAAAGCGCTTCAAAGGGTTCTTGGCCTAGCAGCACACAATCTTCCTTTTCCCGGGGGGCTTTAGAAACAGGACCAGAACTGAACCGTGGAGTCCTTGTATCGCCGGCTATATAGATCATGAGCAAGAGGCTTGGGAAAGGGTAGCGATTGGAAGATGCAGGCCTGCGTCCTCAAACTCATCAAGCTCACTGCCAAAGCGTCCATTCCAACTGATAGTGGGCCTATAAGATAGGGCAGAATTGCTCCTGTGGGTTTCTGAGATAGTAATTCTTTATGGGAGTGGAAAGCCGCCTCCTTCACCCAGAGCGCCTGGTGGTTTCAAACTGCAGGAAACCACTGTGCCACCAGGGCTCACGGGTGCTGAGGGCACCCTAGCGGCAGCAGTGAGGTCCACATCTCACCTCCTGCACTCGTGGCTGCCACCTGGGCCCCTGTCATCCTTGGCTATTTGTGTTAGGCAGGGTGCTCTAGAGAAACGAAACCAGGACACACATGATTGTATATATATAAAAAGATCGTTTCATTTAGCGAGAAGCAATGCAACAGCTAATTTGTCCACAAAGCAATGCCAAGGGCGCAATTCAACTCACTTTCGTGCAACAGTTGATATACTAAAAGTCCTTTTAACTCACGCTTGCCGCTGGTCCGAGGCCAAGGAAGTAGAGACTGCCTACAGGCCGAGACGCAGCAGAGGCCAGTAGCACAGTAGTATAGAGAGGCGGGTTGTGATGGAGTCTCCCGAAGTGGAGTTGCACCACAATCTGATCCCTGACCCATGGGTTGGCTCACTCTACAGGTCGCGCAGCACACGGTTGAAGCAGAGCAGTTAACTCAAGCAATAGCACGCGGTTACCAAGGAGAAAGAGGCGGGTCTTGGAGAGTCGTTTTTCTCCGTTGCCCTCTAATCCAGCTGTGACCTGATTGACAAGCTAATCTCCACCCCCAGGTTCCTATGAGAGCCAGTTTGACACGAAAAAAAATATCACACAATTCTTAATATCTCTAACAAGCCATAGTGTTGTAACCAGGCTAACAAGAGTACAAGGAGAACATACATCCTTTTAGAGATCCAGCTCTTAGGAGAATGTGGACTTGCATTGACTTGCCAAGAGTTTAAAAATAGGAATCTTCTTGAGGGTAAATCATACCTGCATTTAACCCCCCAAAATAGTGGCTTAAAGCAATCGTAATGTTGCCTCGCTCGCAGTTTCTGTGTATCGGGAATTTGAAGATCATCCATCTGGAATATTTGATGAAGTCGAAAGTAGCTCATTCACGTGCCTAGCAGGTTGAGTCTGGTTGTTGGCCGGTGGCTTCAGTTCCTCTCCAAGTTGGCACCTCCAAAAAACTATTGGAGAGTCCTTAAGGCATAGCAGCCGATGTCCCCAGAGCGAACAATCTGCCACGTCAGGGAGCAAGCTGCAGTGCCTTTTATTAAGTAGCTTCAAAAGTCACATTGCTGCTTCGACATTCTGTTGGTCAAGAGGCAGCAGTGGATGTCACTGGACAGAAGAACGTTGTTATCACCTTGTAAAAGAGCATGAGAGATGGAATGACTGTGTTTAAAGCACAATCTGTCAAATTCCTAACACTGACATAGAACTGAGGCCCAGAATGATTATCCCATTTTGTAGATGATGGAAATTGAGGCTCAGAGACATAAAATATCTTACTTGAGGTCTGCTCTTTGGTGAGAAGGACCAAAGCCCAGTTCCCTGGACACCTAGCCCATGCTGATACTGTCTCCTCAAATTGACCCCTTGTATTGCTCTTCTGCTACTGTAGGTACGAATCATCTTGTTGCTTCATCTTTTCAGCTTCATCAGGGTAGATGATCCTCCAGCCAAGCCTAAAAGTTGTCATGTGATTCAGTTGAGATTCTATGTCTTGTGAAAGTTAAGTTTCCACTGAGTATAAGGGCAGATCCTTTGATAAAAAAAAATCGCAGAGCAAGAAAATAATTCCCACTTTCCAATATTTTACATGGTGTTTGCCTCAGAAGTCTCAAGAATGTTAAACCAGTGTGTTTTGTGTACTTGTGTTTGGGTGAATTATCAAAGACTACATCGTATTAGTAATTGAAAGAAGTCATCATTGCTGGCCTCCAGTGGTTTCCATATTACTTGATCTTCTTTTAAAAAGGTGTTAGCATTTTTTGGTGTTCTGCCTGTCAACCTTGAAACCATATCCCCATAGTCACGGTCATATTCTGTGATTCTTGCTTCCAGGTCAAACTTCCCTTTCCTGTCGATCAGATCACAGACCTTCCGAGGAACGATTTCCAGATGATGATTAAGATGCACAAGTTAACCTCAGAACAGTTAGAGTTCATTCACGATGTCCGGCGGCGCAGCAAGAATCGCATCGCAGCCCAGCGCTGCCGGAAGAGAAAACTGGACTGTATTCAGAACTTAGAATGTGAAATCCGTAAATTGGTGAGTTGACCAGGGCTGATCTAATGGTCTGATGTCACGTTGCAGCACGGAAGGCCATTGTAGACAGAAGCGTGTCACCCTTCAGAGAAGATTGGATTTTTTTTAAAGATGAGGTCGGATTAATTTTCAAACATGTAAGTCTCAGCAGCAACAGTAGCTTTCTGTCTGTGCTATGTGTGTGACATTTTTGCACACAACGTGTCCATAAATAGCACACACATGCGCACAGCACACACAGGAAATGAATGCATCTCTGTGTTCTTTGTGTAAAAAGATGGCAACAGCACACCCAATTTCCTATTTTTCAGTCAGACGTATAGAAGCCGTCCTTTTGTCTGGTTTTATTTTCTACACTGTGTGTTAGAATAGCATACTAGGCATGAGTGCGTGCCTCTGGACCAGGCCTTCCCCTGAACAGTTTTCATGGGTTGTCGCACTTAATCCTCACATCAACCTTACACTGTAAGTCCTATGTTACTCCCTTTGACAGAGCAAAAGACAACAGCAAAGAAAAGTTAGCTCACTTTCCTGCATGTGGTAGAGCTTGAATACCAACTCACTCATTTGATTCCAAAACCCGTGTTTTTGGTTATTTTAATCATTCTTTCCCCTGCCTCTCTCTCGGCAGAAGCATCTATTGTAGAGAGTGGGCACGAGCCCTTCCTAGCCCCAGGCCCCTGGTTTTGAAACGGCACACTTACTCCTGTGGCCTCTCCGTCATACTCTCAGGTTTTGTTGCAGGGAACAAGCTCCCAGCTCCCAAGTGCCTTTGTCTTGATCAGCAACTTTCACCGTGACTAGCCATCTGGAGCTTTATGAGGAAAACATGGCAGCCCCTGGCTCTGCACTGGCCTGTGAAAGGTGACCACCTCCACCTTGTAGCTGAAAGGGCGTCTCC